TTTTTTTTAGCTCAACGAGAGATTTATTATTTATTCTTCGATGATGTTTGTCAATGTGTTTTAACCAGGCCGAGAATCTCTATTTTTTGTCTACATTTAGGAACGCTCCCTTATGAAACCTGCCTTGTGATTGGTCAGTTAGCTGTGCTGTCGCCATAGCAACCGTTCTCTTGGCATATGAAAGTTAGCCGATGATTGGTTGTTGAGGTTTATGATTTGGCAAGTTCCATTATTTAGTATAAGTTGACCTGGTTGAGACCATTGACGTAGATAATACTGAAGAGGAGGTGGGGAGGTTATTATAGCTCTCTAAAACATTTTACATCACGTTGAGGTGAGAGAGAGAGAGAGAGAGAGAGAGAGAGAGGGGATTCCATGACGTCATCTTGTCAGTGTTGCCAAGGCTTGTTATGAAGACTCGATATATAATTATGCAAGGTGATTTAATTTTCTCTCAAGCTGTTTTTAAAGCTTACTGCAATGTACGTTAAGCTAATGTTGTACGTGTTGCTTTAATCTAAGCTGGGCTAGGCTTTATGAATAGCGTGTTGTTTAATCTAATACGAAAACTCTGGTGTTTGGTGGTCGTTTCAGAGTAGCCAACACTGACGGTCGTGACTTCCACCAGTACCATCAAGAGGGTATGGGAGCTGTGTCTGGCTCCTGGGGTTACGTAATTCAAGCTAGTTTAGCATAACAGAGGCTATGGAGGAAGTAGGTTTTAAGCTAAGCTAGGACAAGCACACTCATCATAGCTTATCAAGCCACGCTAAAAGTGTTAAGTAATTTAGCTGATTTAAAGAGCAGTTCCGTCTTAACTGAGCTAGGCTATGGTAGTAACACATAGTTTTAGCTGAGCTAGGCTTTCAAACTAACATAATTTCCTAGCTATAGCACCAGCTTAGTTCACATTAGGCTATGACGTTAAGGGCGTAACATAATCAACTCGCCTCTGACGTCACATGTATTAATTTTACCCAATAAACAAAAGGCCTCTGACGTCATCGCGGTAGTTTTCCAATGAACGGCTTCTGACGTCATAATCAGGAATCTGTCCAATGAACAGAGATCGCTGATGTGTTCTGCGTGAGAACTAATTAACATATGATTCTTGTTAATGGAAGGGTTATTACCGTTAAATTAGATTTCTGTATATAACAATACCTTACCACAGAACACGACAACACTGACGAAGTTAACGCCATGACCGCAGGTCTCCCGTAGAAGTTGTCTTTGTTACGAGATTGGTTGATAGACTGATCACGTGACTCCCACCTTGCTGTAATTGGTGGGTTCGCCGGTGGCGTGATTCATCTACCTTGATTTGATTGGTGGAATGGCTGATGACGATTCTCGCCGAACTTTGCTGTGATTGGTGGACCAAACCAGCCACTCACAAGACATATACCTAACAATAATCTCGACATAAGAGCTAAAGTGAATATATATATATATATATATATATATATATATATATATATATATATATATATATATATATATATATATATATATATATATATAAATATCACCAGTGTTATATTGAACTGGAATGGAGGTTTGGAATTATATAGAGAATCCTAATATATCATCAAGAGATTAATTAGAATATATCTAACATACTCTTTTGGGGAATGAAATGAATTTCTAAATAACAACTTTTTTTTTCTAAATACAAAATTACCATGAATTACTATGGCTAAAAATAAATTGTTTGGAATGAGTGATTTATTTTAGGATACAATAAAATGTACATTAATATAACCAATGTACATGAAGGCTTTAGATATATTGAACACGATAAGTTTGTTTGGTCTAACTATACAGTGTGGCCCCGGGTTTGTACCGCAAGTTTTATTTATATTTTATGCGTGATGAAAGACATTTTGTGTACGATGATTTAAGGAATGGCACTGGCCGATACCTTGGCACTGGCCGATACCTTGGCACTGGTCGACGGTTTGACACTTGTGGTATATTTGGTGATTTAGTGTTTGTTTCTGGCACTGGTCGAACACTTGACATTGGTTAATCATTTGGCACTGATCGACACTTTGGCACTGATCGACACTTTGGCACTAGTCGACATTTTGGCACTGGTTGACACCTTGGCACTAGTCGACACCTTGGCACTCACAGCACTCGAGGGACGCCCCGACGAAGGGAAACTAAATAAGACATAGAAAAACAAAAAGAGTTCACGCCAATTGTGATCGTCTCTACACAGTGTTCACACCTCATAGTGCCAGGGGGGGGGTGATGGCACTTGTGGATGAGAGAAAAGGGAAGGGTGGTTTCAAAAGGGGAAGTGCCACAAGTTGGGAGGGGGGAAGGGGGAGAAGATAATGGCACTTAATGGAGGTTATGGCGTGTTATGGGTTCACTTACTAACACTTATGTACACTTATCCTCTCTCAATGTCTTAACGAGAGGCCTTACTGTCTATATGTTGTGGTCCGTAAGTAACTCACTCTGGGATCAAGAGTGATATACACCTTCAGTGTCTGTATGTATCGTTACAACTAAACTATTCCTCCTGGGGCAACAGGTGTGTCCGTGTCCACTCACTCACCAGGGCCTCGCGCTCACGGAGAATGAAAATAATAATTGTGTTGTTTGACGTTCTGGTCTTGTCGGTAGTTGTTGCTGGCAAAATTGTTTCCCCAAGTGTTGTGGTGTACCGACAAGATTTTGCGGTTGTTGGACAAACTTTCTGTTTAACGGGGGATTTTTTTTTCACCAGTAAAGTTGTCCGGCGGAGTTACAGACACAGCCTACTGTACCCCGGGTGATGAGTTAGGCACTAGTGGCGGGGGGGGTGGAGAGTTTCAGTGCCACATGGCGGCGTAAGGGTAGGAGTACTGGAAGGCGGCGTATGGCTGGGTGGAGTAACACAGGTTCTGGTGGAGGAAGGGGTTCATGTTGGAGGGCTTCGGGGCTGAGAGGGGCGGCAGAGGCTCCTCCTTGGGAACCCGCGGCGGCTGTAGCTCTACAAATTCCCCTACAGGTGAGCCCGGGGAGCCCCCTGGGGACACCCCCCCTGTCGAGGGCACCCCAGCGACGATTTCATTGGGTATATCCGGAGAGCCGTGGCTACCAGGCTGGGGGGAGGCGCCCCCTGTGTAGTAAGGGGAACCAGAACCTCCATATGCTTGGGCGGAGGGGATGAGTCTTGAGCCGAGGGGCGGGAGGGAGGTGAGGGTGCCGGAGGCGCTACTGCAGGTGCTGCTGCTGGGAGCCGTCATGGGGTTCATGGAGGCCATGGTGGACATGGGCTGCAGGGAGCCGTGGGTAACGTGGGTGGGTGTGGAGGTGTAGTGGGCGCCTGAGCCCTGGTCGGGCAGGAGGTACTTGTTCATCTCGGCCCGATCGATGGTCTCGAAGGAGTCAGCGAGACAGTCGGGGACAAAGACGGTCTCCCCCAGGTGACCCTCCGTGTGTCCCCTGATGACACCCTGACCTGACGGCGAGTGTGGCGGCGACAGTGGGTGCAGGTTCAGCCCGAGACCACCTCCCTTCACACTACTGCTGGGGAGAACAACACGGCGTCAGCACCTGCATCACTCACACACACACACACACACACACACACACACACACACACACACACTCACTCACCCACCCACCACACACACACACACACACACACACACACACACACACACACACACACACTTAACCAAATTCAACCTATTTATGGATAGAACAATATTGTAAAACTCCCTTAATCATCTACATATAACAACAGCAGGACCTGAACCTATTAATAAAAATGTCCCCCCCCCTAAACTCCTTAACCTCGTCATACACGCGTGGTAATGGCGGCACCTTAACCTGGAGAAGAGGGGAGATAAATGTTAAGAGATCCTGGAGAGATAGAGAAGTGAGATATTATTACCCGGAATACTGAGAACCGAGTGAGAGAAGTAATACTGTATTGTAATAGAAAATGGGATGAGGAGGCCAAGGGGGAGGGGTCACTGTTATATTTTTTTTAGTAACTTGTGATTTTTTTTTTGAGGGGGGTAACACTTCTGACACTTATACTTCAAACACTTTACTTGTGACACTTATACTACAAACACTTTACTTCTGACACTTATACTACAAACACTTCTGACACTTATACTTCAGACACTTTACTTCTGACACTTATACTACAAACACTTCTGACACTTATACTTCAAACACTTTACTTCTGACACTTATACTACAAATACTTCTGACACTTATACTTCAGACACTTTACTTCTGACACTTATACTTCAAACACTTTACTTCTGACACTTATACTACAAACACTTTACTTCTGACACTTATACTTCAAACACTTTACTTCTGACACTTATACTACAAACACTTTACTTCTGACACTTATACTTCAAACACTTTACTTCTGACACTTATACTTCAAACACTTTACTTCTGACACTTATACTTCAAACACTTTACTTCTGACACTTATACTACAAACACTTCTGACACTTATACTACAAACACTTCTGACACTTATACTTCAGACACTTTACTTCTGACACTTATACTACAAACACTTTACTTCTGACACTTATACTTCAAACACTTTACTTCAGCCACTTATACTTCAAACACTTTACTTCAAACACTTTACTTCTGACACTTATACTACAAACACTTTACTTCTGACACTTATACTACAAACACTTTACTTCTGACACTTATAATACAAACACTTTACTTCAGCCACTTATACTACAAACACTTTACTTCTGACACTTATACTTCAAACACTTTACTTCTGGCGCTTATACTACAAACACTTTACTTCTGACACTTATACTTCAAACACTTTACTTCAGCCACTTATACTTCAAACACTTTACTTCAGCCACTTATACTACAAACACTTTACTTCAGCCACTTATACTACAAACACTTTACTTCAGCCACTTATACTTCAAACACTTTACTTCAGCCACTTATACTTCAAACACTTTACTTCAGCCACTTATACTACAAACACTTTACTTCAGCCACTTATACTTCAAACACTTTACTTCTGACACTTATACTACAAACACTTTACTTCAGCCACTTATACTACAAACACTTTACTTCAGCCACTTATACTACAAACACTTTACTTCAGCCACTTATACTACAAACACTTTACTTCAGACACTTATACTACAAACACTTTACTTCTGACACTTATACTTCAAACACTTTACTTCTGACACTTATACTACAAACACTTTACTTCAGCCACTTATACTTCAAACACTTTACTTCAGCCACTTATACTACAAACACTTTACTTCTGACACTTATACTACAAACACTTCTGACACTTATACTTCAGACACTTTACTTCTGACACTTATACTTCAAACACTTTACTTCTGACACTTATACTTCTGACACTTATACTTCAAACACTTTACTTCTGGCGCTTATACTACAAACACTTTACTTCTGACACTTATACTACAAACACTTTACTTCTGACACTTATACTTCAAACACTTTACTTCTGACACTTATACTTCAAACACTTTACTTCTGACACTTATACTTCAAACACTTTACTTCTGACACTTATACTACAAACACTTTACTTCAGCCACTTATACTTCAAACACTTTACTTCTGACACTTATACTTCAAACACTTTACTTCTGACACTTATACTACAAACACTTTACTTCTGACACTTATACTACAAACACTTTACTTCAGACACTTATACTACAAACACTTTACTTCAGCCACTTATACTTCAAACACTTTACTTCAGCCACTTATAATACAAACACTTTACTTCTGACACTTATACTACAAACACTTTACTTCAGCCACTTATACTTCAAACACTTTACTTCTGACACTTATACTACAAACACTTTACTTCAGCCACTTATACTACAAACACTTTACTTCAGCCACTTATACTACAAACACTTTACTTCAGACACTTATACTACAAACACTTTACTTCAGACACTTATTTACAAAGTTATGTTGACATACATGGATAATTTAGCTTAACTTATATACTGAGCTACATATGGTTAATGACATACACAGATACACTCATTTACATAATCATTTACATATACACTCATTTACATAGTCATTTACATATACACTCATTTACATAATCATTTACATATTAACTAACAAACTCGAGTAAATTTTCACTCATATCTACCTTGTATGGTTGTCTGATATACACATTCGTTATTAATTTACACACTCATTTACACCCTCATTTACATACTTATTTGCCGACTAATTTACACAATCATTTGCATACTCATTTACACAACCATTTACATACTCATTTACACCCTTATTTACACTCCTTTACACACACTAATTTACACCCGCATTTAAACACTAATTTACACCCGCATTTACACTAATTTACATCCTTATTTAAGTCTCATTTACACTCATTTACACACTTATTTACACCCGTATTTCTCATTTACATATTTTACACCCTCATTTACGCAACCATTTACACAATATGTTATGTGGCCGAGATAAGGAGCAAGTAACGCGATCATTATTATTACTACACGAGGGACAACAGGCAACACTAAGTAACGTAAATAACCAGAGTGATTGATGATGTCTGGTAGCCGGATGCCTTCCCTCCCTCTAGCTGGCCTCACTCCCTCCCTCTAGCTGGCCTCACTCCCTCCATCCCTCCCCTTTCTTCAGTCGACCTCCCTCTCCTTCCCCTCCCTGCCCTTCCCCTCCCTGCCCTTCCCCTCTCTCCTTCTCCTCTCTCCACCCTTCTCTACCTCCCTCAGCCAACCAAGCTAGGTCGTGGGATGGGATGGTGAGGGATTGGGGAGTGGGGAGTGAACATAAATGGGTTGGGGAAAGGGGAAGGGGAAGGGGAATTAAGGGAGTTAGGGATGATGTAAGTAGAGGATGGATGAGGGATTCAGGATAGGAGGAGGGTTGGATGTAGGGAGTGAGAGAAGGGAGGACCCACCTGACGAAGTTCTTACCTACGGAAATAACGCTGGGAATATACCTAACCTAACTACCTACCTTAAACCAACCAAACCCGACCCGACCCGACCCTGGACCTGACCCAACCCGACCAACCCAACGGAAAAAAATATTCCTAAAAAAAAAATTGGTTCACCACAGTACCCACCTGACGTAGTGATGTGGTCCCGACAGGTCCTGGACGCCGAGCTGGGTGTTGTGGCCTCCTGGCGAAGGTTTGCTCACCGTCTTAACATTCTCCTTCCTCCTCCTAGGCTGATATTTGTAGTCCGGGTACTCCTGCTTGTGCTTCCGACGGAGGTGATCGGCCCTCTCGATAAAGGGACGTTTCTGATCCTCCGTCATTCCCCTGTAGGAGGCAATAGGATACGTGGTGGTCAGGTGGAGATGGCTAGGAGATGTGGTGGTGAGGGGGTGGTGGCTAGATGTGGTGGTGAGGTGGGGGTGGCTAGGAGATGTGGTGGTCAGGTGGGGTGGCTAGGAGATGTGGTGGTGAGGTGGAGATGGCTAGGAGATGTGGTGGTGAGGAGAGGGTGTAGGTGTGAGGGAGAGGAGATGATAGACAGACAGACTGAGACAGACAGACAGACAGACAGAGAGAGACACCTGATCGTGAGGCTGTTGCGTCGGTCGTGAAGATGAGCTGAGTAGGAGATAGAGACGGAGATAATGGTGGTGTGGCGAGGGTGAGGGGGTGTAGCGAGGGTGTGGGTGAGGGGGTGTGGCGAGGGTGTGGGTGAGGGAAGAGAGATAACACAAGGAGACGTAGATAAGGAGACAGTAGTGAAGGTGTGGGTATGTAGTGGGCTAATCAATGGGCCGTAAAGAACCATACTCAAGATTATTATTATTATTATTGTTGTTGTTGTTATTATTGTTATTTTTATTATTTTTGTTATTATTATTATTATTATTATATATATATATATATTTTTTTTTTTTTATTGTTATCATCATCTCACCCATTTTCTCTATCCTTTATTTAAGCTTAAGTATAATTCATGATTGCATATGTAAATTAGGTCTATACCAGAATGCAAATGACATAAAAACATATGACTGGTGGAAACTGCAGCGGACCATACTGAGCAGTCCCGTTTACACCCAACCCCTATTGCTCGTACATCCATCTAACCTATGTTTGAAGCTATCCAGCGTATTCGAGTTAATGATGATGTTTGTTAACTTGTTCCATTCATCCACTACTCTATTTCTAAACCAATGTTTACCTATCTCGCGCCTAAATCTAAATTTGTCTAATTTAAAACCATTGTTACGAGTTCGCTCCTGGTTTGATAGTTTGAGTTCCTCTGTTTTATCACCTTTGTTTAGCTCTGACTTCCATTTCTACACCTCTATCAGGTCGCTCCTCACTCTACGTCTCTCGAGGGAGTGCAAATTAAGATGCTTTAACCTGTCTCTGTATTCAGGGTTCCTAATGCCAGGGATTAGTCTTGTCATTCTCCTCTAAATTCTTTCCAAGGATTCTATATCCATTCTGTAATACGGTGACCAGATCTGAACTGCGTAATCCAGGTGAGGTCTCACAAGCGCAAGCTATAGATTTAGGATGACCTCGCTAGTCTTGTAACTAACACTCCTTTGTATGAACCCAAGTACTTTGTTAGCCTTGTTTCGAGCAAATACACATTGATTACTTGGTTTAAGATTAGGTCTACACCAGTATGCATTAAGCCTATACCAGTATGCAAATTAGGCCTAATACACTAGCTTTCAGATGCTTTTTACAGCACTCCAAATACCAAAAAGATAACGCTTATCAGGTAGTCACTCCGCACCTTTATCTACGTTATCAAGGGCTCAAGGGCTTACTCTGGCTTCCACGAAATACGCATAACCCCTTCCTGACAGTGTACGGATCACGTGAGAGTCCTGTGTTAGTGTTGGCTCTTGGTGGATTATACCTGTGTTTGTGTACTGCCGGTATTAATCTACACCTGTAACATAACTCCAGCCAATACCCCCATTCCCACCACCCCACCCCACCCCCCCTCCTAAAAAAAACAACAATATGGGACATTCCTTTTCAACTAGGGGCAGCGGAAAATGTCCCATCACAAGACTAATGCCTTCTCGTGTCCTTCACTTGCGCAAAAAAAAAAAAAATACGTCTAGCGGTGATGGCGGCGCTCACCAAAAACAGCAGACAATCGCTATGCGTGTGTCCCCCCGCTGCGCACTACTGACACACACACACACACACACACACACACACGTACGCTTCAAGCTCAAGCTGCGGTGTGCTGAAAGCTTATCTGATTGTATGGTTTTAGTTAATTTAAGGGATAATGAATAAAGCAAAAGGATTATTTAAAAATGAAAAATTGGCGTCGACGGAAAAGACGATTGGAATTTTATTAACATAAAATGTAGTTTGAAAATACTATTAAAATAACCAGGTGTTAATACAGGTGTTTGCCCGTACAGGTGTTAATGAGTTTCAGGTAATGACTTATATTATTAGTTAAGAAGACGATTTATTGTATATTATTTATTTTTATTCTGATGTTGATGTTCCGAGTTTTATTAATTTAATTTTAATATCCTTCCTTCCTTCCTTCCTTCCTTCCTTGCTTCCTTCCTTCCTTCCTTCCTTGCTTCCTTCCTTCCTTTCCTCTTTCCTTCCTTCCCTCTTTCCTTCCTTCCTTCCTTCCCTCATTCCTTCCCTCTTTCCTTCCTTCCCTCATTCCTTCCTTCCTTCCTTCCTTCCCCCTAACAACCACCTTTAAGTTTTCTATATTAGCGCATGCGCAGTGAGGGGTCGGCGCCTGATGTATGGGTGACTTCACGAGCCTCGTCTCACGGTCTGCCAGCCAAGATTAATTGATAGGGGGAAGGGGGACTGTGTTCTTCAGGGGTCACCGTTAATGAGGGAGGGACTGTATTCTTCAGGGGGTCACCGTTAATGAGGGGAGGGCTGTGTTCTTCAGGGGTCACAGGGAGCTGTGTTCTTCAGTACCGTTAATGAGGGAGGGCGCTGTGTTCTTCAGGGGTCACCGTCAATGAGGGGGAGCTGTGTTCTTCAGGGGTCATGTGAGGGGAGCTGTGTTCTTCAGGGGGTCACCGTTAATGAGGGAGCTGTGTTCTTCAGAGTCACCGTTAATGAGGGGAGCTGTGTTCTTCAGGGGTCACCGTTAAATGAGGATCTCTCTTTCCTCCCTCTCTCTCCCTCGTTTCTTCTCCTTCTCCCTCTCCCTCCCTCCCTTCATAGTGTAGCCCCCACCCCGTTACATCTCCCCTCTCCTCCTTCCCCACCCTCCTTCCCCACCCCTCCCTTCCCTTCCCCACCCACTCCCTTCCCACCACTCCCTTCCCCCCACCCACTCCCTTCACCTCTCATTGCCTCATCTTTCCCCTTTCATCTCTTCCTCCTCTCTCCCTTCCTCCCCCTCCCTCCCTACTGTCCTGCTATTGGGATATTGATATTTACAAGGCAGACACAACGGACATTATTAGACATGTTGATATTTCCTGTTGTCTGAGAGAGAGAGAGAGAGAGAGAGAGAGAGAGAGAGAGAGAGAGAGAGACCACAGGTGTGTTTGTAACATAATCATAAAACCTGGTTGTAAAACACTCTACAAGTCAAGTCAGGTCAGTGTTTGTGTGTGTGTGTGACCTGGAACTATTAAGTGGTGTATTATAAACGTTTTTTTTTTATATAACCCGTATCTATAAAATCAGGTCACAAAACATTTAAGTTGGGTCATTGCCTCAATGTGACCCGGATTTATTAATGACACAGATTAGTATGTAGGTCACGTCCAGCTAAAACGCCTTTCTGTGGCCTGGATCTGTTAGCGAGATATTTCCCGGTCCTGTAAACCCGTGTGACCGCCATCTGTAAATAAGAATCTTTATTTTCTCACGGTAAACAGATGCTAAAGATATCAAAAGTCCTTCCCCTTATACGTGTGATATCGAGCTAATGGTTATCCTATGGGTTTGTATTGTAAGGAAGATATCAATGGGTTATCCTATGCGTTAGACAGATTAGCCCATAGCTTAAATAAACGATATCAGGGTCTCGATAGCGTCCCCTCCACCCTAATTGTTCTTCACGCGATATCAAAATGAACCTCGATAGCATCAAGCAGTTCAGTTTATATACGAAAGATATTATTCATGTTAATTTTCCATTATTCACGATAGCACTCCTCCACGATAGTACCTAAGGGTTATCGTATTCAGGGAAGATATCAGGTTAAGAAGTTTCCAAGATGTCAGGCAAGACATCTAAGATTGCCGCTATAATTGGGCGACCAAAAGATATTATTCATGTTAATTTTCCATTATTCACGATAGCACTCCTCCACGATAGTACCTAAGGGTTATCGTATTCAGGGAAGATATCAGGTTAAGAAGTTTCCAAGATGTCAGGCAAGACATCTAAGATTGCCGCTATAATTGGGCGACCAAGGTGGGGCTGGGAGCTGGGCGCCTTAGTATCGCAATTATTTCCTGAGAGCGTGAGGGAGGGTGGGAGGGAGGAGGGGAGGAGAGGTGGGGAGGGAGGAGGGGAGGGAGGGAGGGAGGGAGGAGGAGGGGAAGGAGAGAGGGGAGGAGGCAAGAAGAGAGGGAGGGAGGAGGGAGAGAGAGAGGGAAGGGAAGGGGAAGGAGGGGTTGGAGGGAGGGAGATATGAGGAGGGGAAGGTGGGTTGGGAGGAGAAAAGAAGGGAAGGATGGAGTGGGTTTGGAGGGTGGTGGGGAGGAGGGGGGACAAGGAGGGAGTGGCCCTGGCCAGCGACTTGGTGTTGTTGTTGACGACCATGGCGCACCTGTGACTGAGGGAGCGCCACTGTCGGCAGAAGGCGGGCGAACGATCGACCGTATGGCGTAGATAATTAGAGTTTGGAGGAGGAAAATGTCAGGCACTAGATTGCTCGTGTTGGCGATGTTGTATGGTAAGAGGAACGTCACTGCAGACAGAAGATAGGCGGCGAATCGATCGCCAGGCGTAAGTTATCGAAAGTTGGGGGAAATGCCAGGCGCTTGATTGCTCGTGTTGTACAAGGAGCACCAGCGCAGGCATTAGGCTGACGAACATACGCCTTAAGTAACTCCCATCGCTTGTCAGTGCATGAAACGTCAGGCAGTTGATTGCTCGTGGTGGCGCTGTGACGGGACTGAGTGGTGGCAGGTGGAGGCTGGCTGGCCACGGTAAGTGTTGGGAGGATCAATCGTTATGGTATATGTATATTAAACCCTCTGTACGTGTATACATCCGCAGGTATACATACACAGCTAAAATAAATATATAGACACATGTATAAGTTTACACGTGCATGTAATTATAAATTTGGATTGATGTAACAGTATATGAGAGATAC